TCATGTAGCAGAATGTACCAGTCATTCAGTTTTTTGTGCCTGAGTGTTCTATTTTATGGATAAACCACACTTTGTTTATTCACTCATATGTTGACGAACATGGGGGTTGTTTCCACAATACTACTTTGGTTATTGTGAATCAGGCTGCCATGAAATTGGGGTATACGTGTCTGTGTGTGTTTCCGATTTCTGTTTCTCTGGATGTATACTTAGGAGTTGAATGGCTGGGTCACAGAGTGGTTCTAAGTTCACCTTTTTCAGGAAGAGCTACACTGTTTTACACAGTGGCTGCAGGATTTAACATTCTCCCCAGCAACGCATAAGGGTTGCCACTTCTTCCACCCACTCCCAAATTGGTTGTGTAATGGCCATGTCAATGAGTGTGGACTGGAATTTCACTGTGGTTTTGATTTGCATTTCCCTGACAACCAACGATGGGAGCATCATTTCATGTGCGTAATTGTCATTTCTATCTCTTATTTGAACAACTTCTTTCTTTTTTTTTTTTGAGATGGAGTTTTGGTCTTTTTGCCCAGGCTGGAGTGCAATGGCGCCATCTCAGCTCACCACAATCTCTACCTCTTGGGTTCAAGTGATTTTCCTGCCTCAGCCTCCAGAGTAGTTGCGATTACAGGCATACGCCACCATGCCTGGCTAATTTGTGCATTTTTAGTAGAGATGGGGTTTCACCATGTTGACCAGGCTGGTCTCGAACTCCTGACCTCGTGATTCACCTGCCTCGGCCTCCCAAGGTGCTGGGATTACAGGTATGAGCCACTGTGCCCGGCTAAGAAGAATGTGTTTCATATCAGCTATTCAATTACTTCAATGGTCTGCTTCAGCCCACAAAGGAATGCCAAAATGAGAAATAATTTCCATTACTCCTTACTTCACCATTCATACATGAGCATGTGTAGGTGTACAGCATTGAGCCCACCATTAAACATGCAGACAATCACCAAACGATGGGAATGGACTTTAGCAAGAGAGAAACTAATCCATTTGGAATACTGTGAGGGCCAGCATGGACTTTGGAGGATTCTCTGAGGTATGTTGGTTTCATTCAGCAATTGGGTGAGATTTACAAGTAGCGCACTGGGAAATAATTGGGTCAGAAATTTTGCGCATGCCAAGGCACACAGAGCCAGTTGCCTTTTAGATTATTAAGTAGCCATCATCTGCATCTATGTTCAATCCAGTGAAAGATTAGCACATGGCAAAAGATCAAAAGAAAGAAGCTACAGTGTGATTGGCCTCATGTATAATTTGTCCAAAGCTGTCTGCCCTTTGTACCTATTGGTCTTTTTCTGATTATTGGGCTTTTACTTGATAATATAAGTCAAGGATAATGGCAGAGGAGACAAGGTGCCATTTTTGGCTTCCTGTTTAGCAGTCTTTTTTTTTTTTTTTTTGAGATAGAGTTTCCCTCTTGTTGCCCAGGCTGGAGTTCAGTGGCAATATCTTGGCTCACTGCAACCTCTGCCTCCCTGGTTGAAGCTGTTCTCCTGCCTCAGCCTCCTGAGGAGCTGGGATTACAGGCGCCTGCCACCACACTGGTTAATTTTTGCATTTTTAGTAGAGATAAGTTTTCACCATGTTGGCCACACTGGTCTTGAACTCCTGACCTCAGGTGATCTGTCTGCCTCAGCCTCCCAAAGTGCTGGGATTACAAGCGTGAGCCACTGCGCTCAGCCTTTTCTTTCTTTCTTTTTTTTTTTTTGAGATGGAGTTTTTCTCTTGTTGACCAGGCTGAAGTGCAGTGGTGCAATCTCAGCTCACTGCAACCTCTGCCTCCCAGGTTCAAGTGTCTCCTGCTTCAGCCTACTGAGTAGCTGGGATTACAGGCATGAGCCACCATGCCGGGCTAATTTTGTCTTTTCAGTAGAGACATGGTTTCTCTGTGTTAGCCAGGCTGGTCTCAAACTCCTGACCTCAGGTGATCTGCCCGGCTTGGCCTCCCAAAGTGCTGGGATTACACGCATAAGCCACTGTGCCTGACCAGCAGTCTTTTAAGCCCCAGAGATGTTGTAGAAGTCTCCTTGGTATGGGCTAGACCGTGAACTAGAGTCATTTTAGTAGAGAGTGAACAGCCTCTGGCTGGGCGTGGTGGCTCAAGCCTGTAATCCCAGCACTTTGGGAGGCCGAGGCGGGTGGATCACGAGGTCAAGAGATCGAGACCATCCTGGTCAACATGGTGAAACCCCGTCTCTACTAAAAATACAAAAACTTAGCTGGGCATGGTGGTGCGTGCCTGTAATCCCAGCTACTCAGGAGGCTGAGGCAGGAGAATTGCCTGAACCCAGGAGGCGGAGGTTGCAGTGAGCCGAGATCGCGCCATTGCACTCTAGCCTGGGTAACAAGAGTGAAACTCTGCCTCAAAAAAAAAAAAAAAAAAAAAAAAAAAGAAAGAGAGTGAACAGCCTCTAACAGTGCCCCAGTTATGTAGGCTCATTGGCAATGGGTGTACCAGAACAAGTTGTAAATCCAAAGGATTTTCAGATTGTACCAATGGCAAAAAAAGAGACTCCAAAAGCATATGTGGAATCAGTGTCAAAGGTGGCAATTTCCCCTTTGCCAAGATCTAGTAAGAGCTATGAGCTAGAGGCTCAGGCAGAGTATGCCTCAGTTGTTTCATGTGGAGAAATTATGACTAAACCAGTTACTGTGTTTTCCCTACAATTGTGTTAAGAGAAGCCTTCTCAAAATGGTAGTAAGTCTAGGTCATCCAAAGAGGTGTCTATGAGATCTTCCTGTGGCTTTAGGACCATTTCTATCTGTGCATGACTGTCATGTGTAATGGGTTGGTGCTCTCCATCATCAGGTCAAGGAAGTAGAGTAGCCGGACTTACCGGGAAGATGTCGGAAATAAATCAACATGATCGAATTCAAAGTCTAGAAATAATCCCCTTTGCTATCATTTGAATGTTTGTTTCCCCTCAAAATTCATAGGTTAGAACTTAATCCCCGCCGGGCGCGGTGGCTCAAGCCTGTAATCCCAGCACTTTGGGAGGCCGAGGCGGGTGGATCACAAGGTCAAGAGATCAAGACCATCCTGGTCAACATGGTGAAACCCCGTCTCTACTAAAAATACAAAAACTTAGCTGGGCATGGTGGCGCGTGCCTGTAATCTCAGCTACTCAGGAGAATTGCCTGAACCCAGGGGGCAGAGGTTGCCGTGAGCCGAGATCGCGCCATCGCACTCCAGCCTGGGTAACAAGAGCGAAACTTTGTCTCAAAAAAAACAAAAAAACTCAGAAATAAACATCCTAATTCAGAAAAGCATGGTGTTGCCATAGAGCTGACTGCAAGGAAATCAACTACTTACTTGCTGCCATTTGTAAAAACATACAAAATCTGTACATAAACTCCTGACAATAAGTTAGTTTGATACATTGTCCCCTCTTTTAACATGTGTTGAAACAAATAAATAGAAGCTAATGTGAGGAGTGAGGGGTGGAGCATCTCATAGAACAGTAGTTTATTCTTCAGGGACCAGTTTCTGGGATAATAGACTGTGTGTGTGTGTGTGCGCGTGCGCGCACGCTTTTTTTTTTTTTTTTTTTTTAAAGGAAACTATCATTTATGCATTAGTTATACTCAGGCATCATTTTTTCCATTCATTTTCTAAACAGAAAATGCTGTTTTCTAGAAGTTGATTGAAGATTTCATCTATTGACATCTCATGTTCACCTCCTTTCTATCTAGCCATGAGTACCAGCTTTTAGTTCATAACGCTTTGTTTGTTTGAGAGGGAGTTTTGCTATTGCTGACTGGAGTGCAATGGCGCGATCCCGGCTTCAAGCCATTCTCCTGCCTCAGCCTCCCCAGTAGCTGGGATTACAGGCATGCGCCACCACGCCCGGCTAATTTTGTATTTTCAGTAGAAACAGGGTTTCACCATGTTTGTCAGGCTGGCCTCGAACCGAACAACCCACCTCAGGTGATCCGCCGGCCTCGACCTCACAAAGTGCTGGGATTGCAAGCGTGTGCCACCGCGCCCGGCCCTAATGCTTTTACGTCTAGTATTCTGACTTCATAAACATATAGAGAAAGGCGAATGCTTTCAAAATCAAAGCCTGTCGTCTCGGCTTTTGATTGGAACATTTAACATTTAATGGCGTAAGGAGGGAACATTTCCATGCCCTACAGAGAGGAGAGGTATTTTGAGATCTCAGAGTTAAATCCTTAAGTGTCCTTTCCTTATCATCAGTTTCTAACCCATCCCAGGACTCAATTCTACGAATTATTATCTGGCTTCCCAGCTTGGGAATATGTTTGACCTCCTGAAAGGGGTCTGCTTGTGAACTGTGAGTGCAGCAGGCTGCTTCTCTGAGCTAGTTCAAGTTTTGCTTTTCTTCTCTCTTTTTTTTTGGACACGGGGTCTTCGCTCTGTCGCCCAGGCCGTGGCGATCTCGGCTCACTGCAACCTCCGCCTCCCGGGTTCTCTTTTGATATTTTTATGAAATATTGTTGCCATATAATTTCAGTTTTTCCACATACTTAACAATTTTATTTTGCTGTCGTGTTTTTATCTTCTGCGCTGAAAATGAGTAGATTGAGATAAGGTGAGGGAAAGGCTTGGCCATGTCGCCAGCAGCCTCATCCCAAATTCCTGATCCCTGGAGGACATCAGTCCCTCTCTCCTGCCGCGGGGTGGCCTGTGTGCCCTGGGTTTCCCTCCTGCTCCGAGGCCAGGGAATGGCTCCACTGGACAGGGAGCCTGAAATTCCCTGCACCCACTTGTGAGTCCCTGTCCAGGAGGAAAAAGCAGGAAGAACTCACTGAGTACAATCAGGAAATGCTAAAATGCAAACGTCACTTCGGGAGGGGTAGGGTCACGGCGTTGGGAGGAAGCCCGCCTTGCCAAGGGCAGTGTCTGGAACCTCTTCATCCGGCTCCACTCAGCACTGTGAGATCGCTTCTTTTGTCAGTCAGTGGCTAGGGGGCGGGATCTGGAGCACTATCCAATCAGGGACGAGGGGCGGGGCTGTGAGAACTGTCAATCAGGCGCGCTGCAGGGAGGAGGGTGCGACGTTCAAAGAGCCCGCGGAGTCTTCACCACGCCCCTGCGCTCTGAGTCCTGGCTCTGTCGCTGAGAGACGCCCTGCAAGGTCTGTATCAGCGTCTGTGGCGCCGGGACCCACACTGGACACTGGCTTGTAGGGAGGACACCCAGACACCTGGAAGCTGGAAATGGTGAGAGTGCGGGGCCTGGGGTCCCGAGGCAAAGAAGGGGCTGGTTAGAAACGGCCGGAACCGACCGTGAGAGGACCCGGGCCTCGCCCTGGGCGACTCCGGGGTCTGCAAACCCAAGTCCCCCTAGCCCAGCTCGGCCGTCGGTCCCCTCGGCCGCATGATGGGGCCAGGCTGGCAGCCGGGACCCCGGTGTCCTGTCCTGCCCCTGCGCGGCCACTGAGGTCCTGGCGCCCTCTCTTGGGCAGCTCCGCGCCCACAGCTCCGCGTCTCCCCAGATTGTGCGGTTGTAACCGGCACAGGTTCGCGGCCCGAGTCACCGCACCCAGATGCCGAGAGCTGCCGCAGAAACAGTTCAATAGGGGGAGAGGGGAGGACACCCTAGATTCGCCTCCCTGAGAGGTTTGGGGGTGGGGTGTTTAGGGGTCCGGACGGGGGTGGCTGGGGCGTGGGGTCGCTGGTTGGTGGGAAAGTGAGGGGCGCATCCTGGGATAGGAGGTGAAGAACTGCATTCTCCCGCTGGGTGGGCTCATTCGTGGGGTCTTCAGCCTGGTTGGCGCCAGCCTTTCCGCTGGAATTCAGGCTCTGAGAAAGAACTCAGGCGACTCTTGAGCAGCTCTCAGAGATCTTATCCCCAGGCACAGTGGGGAAGCCGGCGTCTGCCGTGACCTGACTCTCAGGGAGGCGGCCCCGGGAGGCGGCGGGGCTGAGGGCACCTGGTTAACATCAACTGCAATCTCGCCTCCAGCCTGGCTCGCAGTTCCTGTGAACCCGGTGAGGACGCTGCACGGTGATGACGGAAAGGTCACCAGGCAGAATCCAGACTCGTGTGTAGGGTTTGTGCTTGGAAAGAGGAGCTGTGATCCGTGGGGTCCCCAATACCTTCTTTTTTCCCAAGGGCGACCAGCCTTCCAAAGATGTGGGCAATAGGGTCTCAAATCCATCACCCTATCCCCTCGTCCTAACTCCTCCTAGGACTGGCAGTAAAGCCCCTGGTTTCCAGAGCCTTCCCCAGACTAACTTTCTCTCCTCTCAATTCACGGCAACTTTATGAACTTGTTCGTCAGGCAATATTTCAAACAGAGGCATTATTTTAATTGTCACTCTGTTTTCACATAGCAACATATGGCTCTTTTTTAAAAGATTTGTGTTTGTGAACATTTCACATTCGAGGAAGCAAAGAATAACCACTTGACTCCAGTGTAGAAAAGAAAAGTATGTGTGTATGTGGCTGTCCTTTATCTTGTCTACACAGATACCTGTAAAGAATATTTTCAGTTGAGGTTCCTCTTTGCAAATGGTACAGGGTGATCTGTCCTTAACCCACTCTCTATGGTATCCTGGTCCTGGGTTACAGAACTGTTTGGGGCTACTCCACGATGCCCATAGCTGCTGAATCTTTTGTAGTGTGTAGTGAACATCAGCTTTGAATCACTCCTCCCAGAGGACAGCCTGAGGTGAGGGGTGGGACCTTATAGGGGAGCAGCTGGGTGCCGACGGGTGGGAGGAGTTCCCTGGTATACTGTTTCTCAAAAAGTGAAGTCCTTAAAACATTCAGCTTTTCTTCCTCCAGTCCCAGTTTCCATTCCTTGGGGACACATGGCTGGTGAGCCAGCTGGTTGGTGGTATTGAGGGTATGGTCTCCTGAGAGGGTAGTTATTCAGCTGTTCACTGAGCAGGATGGGGGTGGGAGATGTCCCAAGTGATACGAGGACCTGAACTGACACTTGAGTCAGATTTGTCTGCATTCCAGTCAGCCCCTCCCTGCATTTGTCGTCTTGAAAAGATTTGTTCACTCATTTCAGCTTCAGCTTTTTATTAACTGCGAAATGTATTTTATCATTAGGGCTTAATAAAGAAAGTATGTTCAAAGAGGCAAGAACAAGTTGGGTTTCAGAAAATAAATTACATATTTAGTCCTATATTTTATTTATTTATTATTTTTAACTTTTATTTACTTTCTTTTGAGATGGAGTCTCGCTCTGTCACCCAGGCTGGAGTGCAGTGTCGAGATCTCAGCTCACTGCAGCCTCCATCTCCTGGGTTCAAGCAATCCTCTCACCTCAGCCTCCTGAGTAGCTGGGATTACAGATGTATGTCACCATGCCCAGCTAATTTTTTTGTATTTTTAATAGCGACAGGGTTTCACCATGTTGGCCAGGCTGGTCTCGAACTCCTGAGCTCAAGTGAACCAACTGCCTCAGCAGTTGGTTCCAAAGTGCTAGGATTACAGAAGTGAGCCATCACGCCTGGCCTCAGGACAATTTGAAATTGTTTTTTATTGGACAATTTCAAATGGAATTTCATGGCCTAGCAGTGAAAAGAAATTGGGAAAAACTGTTTTTCATTATGACTGCAGAAAAATGAATACATTTTTGCAAGAAAGTGTGGGTGATATATTGATGAATTATAAAAATTTACCAAAATGTTAGTTCCTCTCCTTTGTAGAGTGGAGAATTTGAGACAGTGAATAACTCTATTCTGTTCCTGTTATGTGGACTTGACATACTAATGCTAAATTCTGTGGGACAGGACTTTCCAACAGCTAAAGAAGTCAAATATCATTATTTACTTACTAAATTATTCTTTATTATGGAAATGATAAATTAATGACATTTGTTGTCTGAAACAGATAGATACTTGTGCTTTTCCTGTTGAACTATAAAATATAGGTCCTTTGCAGTTTCCTTCTCTCCTATAAACATAAATGCTGGATTGGAGTGATTTTTCTGGATTCATCACACATGAGTAATTTGTTTTTAAATACCCATGTAAGGCATGTAAAGGTAAGTGAGTAGCCTCGAGTGGGGTGGAGAAGCCTGAGGCCACTGACTCTGAGCTAAGGTCAATCTGGAGCCTGCAAAGAGAGGTCATTGAAGACCCAGTTGAGTTGTTCTTCCCAGGGAACCTCCCTGGCAGGTGGTTCATTCCTAACATGGGAGGAACCCTTTATGCTGAGAGAAGTGACAGAGCAGTGGGAAGTTGGAGATCCACAGGCAGAGACACTTAGGGTGATGCCCTGTCTGAGGTTATCTTTGTTACTGTTGTGGGGCTGTTGCTAGACCTTCTCAAGTAAAATAGATCTGGATTTGGGTAAGAAGTGACTTTATTCTAAAAGTATATTGCAAAAGGAGAAAACTACCAACTATAAGATCTGCAAGGATCTCGAAGCTTAGGCAGAAAATTGCTTTCCTTTTTTTTTTTTTCTTTTTGTTTCTGGGTTTTGAGACAGAGTCTCACTCTGTGGCCCAGGCTGGAGTGCAGTGGCGCAGTCTCAGCTCACTACAACCTTTGCCTCCTGGGTTCAAGCGATTCTCCTGCCTCAGCTGGAACTACAGGCATGTGCCACCACACCCTGCTAATTTTTTGTTACTTTTAGTAGAGAGGGGCTTTCACCATGTTGGCCAGGCTGGTCTTGAACTCCTGACCTCAGGTGATCCACCCACCTTGGCCTCCCAAAGTGTTGGGATTACAGGCCTGAGACACCACGCCTGGGCTTGTTTTTTTTTTTGAGACAGAGTCTTGCTTTGTCACTTAGACTGAAGTGCAGTGGTGCGATCTCAGCTCACTACAACCTCTGTCTCCCGGGTTCCAGTGATTCTCCTGCCTCAGCCTCCTGAGTAGCTGGAATTACAGGCACCCGCCACCACACCCAGCTGATTTTTGTATTTTTAATAGAGACGGGTTTCACCATGTTGGCCAGGCTGGTCTCAAATTCCTGACCCCAAGTGATCTGCGCACCTTGGCCTCCCAAAGTGCTAGGATTGCAGGCATGAGCCACCACGCCCAGTCAGAAAATTGCTTTTCTTTTTTTTTTTTATTTGAGACAGAGGCTGTCTGTCTGTTGCCCATTAGAGTACAGCTAGTTCTCAGCTCACTGCAACCTCTGCCTCCTGGGTTCAAGCGATTCTCCTGCCTCAGCCTTCCGAGTAGCTAGGACTACAGGCACATGCTACCACGCCCAATGAATTTTTTGTGTTTTTAGTAGAGACAGGGTTTCACCATGTTAGCCAGAATGGTCTTGATCTTCTAACCTCTTGATTCACCCGCCATGGCCTCCCAAAGTGCTGAGATTACCACCGCCCCTGACAGACAATTGCTTTTCAAAGTGAAGAGCAAGCAATATTAGAAAGAAGGTAGGAGAGAAAGCAGGATGGAAGGTGAAAATCTGATCCTACATCAGAGAATGTTTCACCTTGACTTCAGTCAGTTCTTAGGAGGGGTTAAAAAGGCAGTTTTGTGGCTGGGCCCTCTGCATTGCTTTGACTATGAGCCTCTTTTTAACCTGTAACAAAACCAGACAAAAACCCCTCCAAATTCCCACTTTGCCTTAGAAATGATTAGCTGAATAATTTTGTCTTCACTCACCAGCCTGCCCAAAATTAATGTAATGCAAATTTTCTTTAAATTTTTCTCCTTCCTGCTGGACTCAGTCTGAGCCAGCACACAATCTATTCTTTTTTTTTTTTTTTTTTGAGATGGAGTCTTGCTCTGTCACCTAGGCCACATAATCTCAGCTCACTGCAACCTCCGGCTCTCCTCCTGAGCTCAAGTGATCCTCCCACCTTAGCCTCTCAAGTGGCCATACAGGCATGTACCACTATGCCCAGCAAATTTTTGTATTTTTCATAGAGATGAGGTTTCGTCATGTTGCCCAGGCTGATCTTGAGCTCATAGGCTCAAGTGATCCGCCTGCCTTGGCCTCCCAAAGTATGGAGATTACAGGTGTGAGCCACCTCATCTGGCCTGAGGTGATTTATTTAATTCTAGCTGTTAACCAGGATTACAGAACTGGGGTTAAATCAACATTATTAGAAGTCTGCTTTTACATTTACTGTGTTTGTTTAATCAGAGTATTGTACAAATTTAAAAGTCTGTTGGGGCTGACTTAGAGAAAGACACCTTTTGGTTCTGCATGCTGGACGAAGGGTTTATGAATCTGAGAGTTTATTTGGGTCTGTGATATAGTTTTTAAAAATATTTGGTCTTTTTTTTTTTTTTTTTGAGTCTTATTCTGCCACCTAGGCTGGGGTGCAGTGCATGATCATGGCTCACTGCAACTTCCATCTCCTGGGCTCAAGCAATCTTCCTGCCTCAGCCCCCTAAGTAGCTGAGACTACAGGTGTGCGCCACCATGCCCAGATAATATTTGTATTTTTCGTAGAGACAGGGTTTCACCATGTTGCCCAGTCTGGTCTTGAACTCCTGATCTCAGATGATTCTCCTACCTCAGCTTCCCAAAGTGCTGAATTTACAGGTGTGAGTCATGGTGTCCAGCCTAAAAAATATTTGGTCATTATTTCTAGGTCCTGGTAAAGAAGTCCTAAAATCCTTGGATTTTTGCCAGTGATGGGAATGTGTTTTGTTATTCCCACCAAGCTCTTGTCAGACCTTAGGTAAAGTTATGCTAATTAGGTGACTCAGAGTGAGGTCACTAGGTAACTTCAGGATGGGGACTGGTGACCTGAAAGAGCAAACACATGATGACAGGATTGGAACTTTAAGCCCCATCTTCTGACCCTAGGAAATGGAGGGAGGCTAGAGATTAAGTTGTATAAATTTTTTTTTTTTGAGACAGAGTTTCACTCTTGTTGCCAGGCTGGAGTACATTGGCATGATCTTGACTCACCGCAACCTCCTCCTATGTTCAAGGGATTCTCCTCCCTCAGCCTCCTGAGTAGACGGGATTACAGGCATATGCCACCACACCCGGCTAATTTTTTGTATTTTTAGTAGAGACAGGGTTTCTCCATGTTGGTCAGGCTGGTCTCAAACTCCTGACCTCAGGTGATCCTCCCACCTCAGCCTCCCAAAGTGCTGGGATTACAGGTGTAAACCACCGTGCCTGACCAGTCGTGTAAAATTTATTGAACAAAGACATTGGGGCCAGGTGTGGTGGCTCAAACCTGTAATCCCAGCACTTTGGGAGGCTGAGGTGGGCAGATCACGAGGTCAGGAGTTGGAGACTAGCCTGGCCAATATGGCGAAACCCCATCTCTATTAAAAATACAAAAATTAGCTGGGCCTGTAATCCCACCTGTCAGGAGGCTGAGGCAGGAGAATTGCTTGAACCCGGGAGGCGGAGGTTGCAGTGAGCCAAGATCTCGCCACTGCACTCCAGCCTGGACTAAAAGAGTGAGACTCCATCTCAAAAAAAAAAAGGAAAAAAGACATCGTGACAGCTTCCAGGCTGGTGGATACACTGATGTGCTGGGAAGGTGGTATCACTCAAGAGGGAAAGCTTCCCCCATCCCTGCCCTTCCCCTTGCTGAATACCTCTTTTCCATTTGGCTGTTGTTGAGACATCCTTTATAACAAACTAGTAACCTTAAGTGTTTTGCTGAGTTTCATGAGTTGTTTTAGCCAATTATTGAACCGGAGGATGGTGCTGTTGTATTTATACCCAGTTGGTTAAAAGGTTAGTTCCTGGGGCTTACAAATGGCATCTACGGTAGGGGCCTGTTGTGGGACTGAGCCCTCCAGTAAGAAACTTATGGGATCTGTATTAATTCTGTGTAGCGTAAGAAGTGAATTATTGGACACCCAGTTGTTGCTGAAGAATTGGTTGGTGTTCAGCAAATGGCACACCTTTGTTATCAGAAGTCAGAAGCACCACAGGTCAGAGCCTTACATTGACTGAGTGTCTGTTGTTCATTACATGTTTATCACATATGAATCCAGCTGCATAGTTTTCCCTCTTCTGAGTTTTCAATTAGTTAATATTATATTTACTATATCCCATTAATATTATGCTGATTTTTAGTTTCTTTGCCTCAGTCTGTTTTTTTTTTTGAGACGGAGTTTTGCTCTTGTTACCCAGGCTGGAGTGCAATGGCGCTAACTCAGCTCACCGCAACCTCCGCCTCCTGGGTTCAGGCAGTTCTCTTGCCTCAGCCTCCTGAGTAGCTGGGAATACAGGCACGCGCCACCATGCCCAGCTATTTTTTTTTTTTTTTTGTATTTTTAGTAGAGACGGGGTTTCACTATATTGGCCAAGATGGTCTCAATCTCCAGACCTGTGATCTGCCTGCCTCAGCCTCTCAAAGTGCTGAGATTATAGGCATGAGCCACTGTATCTGGCCAGTTAAAAAAGACGTGGCTGGGCCGGGCGCGGTGGCTCAAGCCTGTAATCCCAGCACTTTGGGAGGCCGAGGTGGGTAGATCACGAGGTCAAGAGATTGAGACCATCCTGGTCAACATGGTGAAACCCCGTCTCCACTAAAAATACAAAAAAAAATTAGCTGGGCATGGTGGTGTGTGCCTGTAATCCCAGCTACTCAGGAGGCTGAGGCAGGAGAACTGCCTGAACCCAGGAGGCGGAGGTTGCGGTGAGCCGAGATCGCGCCATTGCACTCCAGCCTGGGTAACAAGAGCGAAACTCCATCTCAAAAAAAAAAAAAACGGGGTTTCACCATATTGGTCAGGCTGGTCTCGAACTTCTGACCTCAAGTGATCTGCCCGTCTCAGCCTCCCAAAGTGCTGGGATTACAGGCATGAGCCACCACGCCCGGCTACCTGGCCAGTTTGAGGGGACATTGAGTTTTTTCTTAGAATATGTACAATCTTTCCCTGTCTTTCCTTCTCCTTTGTCATTATCCAATGAAAAATTTGTAATTTTTCCATTGAAATAGTGAGATTTTTTATGAGTCTTTTGTCATGCTTAACTACATTTGGTCTAGAGGAAACCAGTTGCCAGTTTCCAAATGTTCTCTCTTAGTGTAATTGCATAGGATGGACTAAATATCCCAAGTAACAAGTTGCAACCAAACATGTGAAACATTAGCTACTAGGATCTCTCAGTAGAGATCCAGTGTTCAGAGCGGTTTTTTTTTTTGAGACAGTCTTACTCTATCACCAGGCTGGAGTGCAGTGGCGCGATCTCGGCTCTCTGCAACCTCTGCTTCCCAAGTTCAAGCAATTCTTCTGCCTCAGCCTCCCAAGTAGCTGAGACTACAGGTGTGCACCACCACGCCCTGCTAATTTTTGTATTTTTAGTAGAGACAAGGTTTCACCTTGTTGGCCAGAATGGTCTCTATCTCTTGACCTTGCGATCCGCCTGCCTCTGCCTCCCAAAGTGCTAGGATTACAGGTGTGAGCCACTGCACATGGCCCAGAGTGTTTTTTCATAACTGTCTTAATCTGTTTATTGTTACTTATAGCAGGATTACCTGAGCCTGGGTAATTTATAAAAAATACTATTTGTTTTTTACACTCTGCAGGCTGGGAAGCTCAAGGTCAAGTCTTGGCATTTGGTAAGAGCCTTCTTGCTGGTGGGGACTCTGCAGAGTCCCTAGGTGGCACAGGGTAGCACATGGCCAGGGGCCCAGTATTTAGTTCTGGTCTCTTTCTCTTATAAGGACACTAGGCCTATTCCTGAGATACTCCATTTACTCATGAAGCCATTAATCTGCAAGTGGATTAGTACAGTCCAGAGGTCCAAACCCTCAAGATCTGATCAGCTCTTAAAGTTCCACATTTCATTATTGTCAGATTGAGGATTAAGTTTCAACATGAGTTTTGGAAAGCACAAACATTCACACCTAGCAGTGGCTAACAGGTATTCTCTCTCTGCTGACCATGTAACAAACTTCCAAACTCTCAGAGCGGGAATAGGAGTTAAGTTAAAAAGATATATATTTATATATATTATAGATATAAACATGGTGAATATATAATATTCATGGCATATAGAAACATTTTACATATATACAAACAATGATATATAGTATACTTATATATAACATAGTATATAAACATATTGCATATATATAATAAATATGTATATATTATATAATATATATTTTATAATATAGAGATCAAATATGTATATATAAATTTATATGTATTATAGAAAAATATATTTAAAATCTATATAATTATATATGTGTGTTATATATATATTTATATATATTTTTTACCTTTGTTTTTTGAGACAGGGTCTCACTCTATTGCGGGATCTCACTCTGTTGCTTAGGCTGGAGTACAGTGGCATGATCACGGCTCACTGCAGCCCCAGCTCCTGAGCTTGGGTAATCCTCTCACCTCAGCCTCCTGGGCAGCTGGGACTACAGGCAAGCACCAACACACCTTGCTATTTTTTTTTTTTGTAGAGACAGGGTCTCACCATATTGCCCAGGCTGGTCTTGAACTCCTGGGCTCAAGTGATCCACCTGCCTTGGCCTCCCAAAGTGCTGGGATTACAGGCATGAGCCACTGAGTCAGGCCTAGTTTTATTTTTTGTAGAGAAAAGGGCTCACTATGATGCCCATGCTGGTCCAAAACTACTGTTCTTAAGTATCCTGTTCTTAAGTGTCCTTCCACTTTGGCCTCCCAAAGTGATGGGATTGCAGGGAGGAGTCACCATGCCTGGCCCATATATTTGCATAAACAGTTCAGGCACACTTAGCCTCTGTTATTAGTTACATTGGTGGGACCCCCTTCTTAATCTGGTACCTAGATACCACGAAAGATGCAAGTTTGCAAATGAGCATTTATCAGAATATGCAGTTTCAGGATTGGTAGTGGTAACTCTTCTACACAACAGGTAGTTGTACTTTGTCATGACAAGAACTCCGTAGAAATAGACATCACGGGTGATGCAGGTAGTAAGACTCACCCACTTAACTCACCAACAAGACGGATGTTTCTCTTCGACTGTTACTTTACCAAACATTCAATTAAGGCATCATAATGGCTTTGTGGGAAAAAGTGACTGTAGACAGAATAAGAGTGGGTTTACTGTGTCGTTGAATAAATGCTTGGAAACCACAGCATCTTGCAGTTTGTGAAGTGACTATGGATTCTCAGTGCTGTCCAACTCAACCTTCCCCCTCTGCACATGTGGGATGTTTCAGGACTCAGTGGCTTTTGAGGATGTGGCTGTGAACTTTACACAAGAGGAGTGGGCTTTGCTGGGTCCATCACAGAAGAGTCTCTACAGAAATGTAATGCAGGAAACCATTAGGAACCTGGATTGTATAGGTAAGGATGATATCATCTCTTCACTCAGTCAATTAGAGACATTTGTCCCCTGGCCATCAACACTGTTCATGATTTGAAATCTGGAAAGGGGATATGGTTGATCCTTGAACAGCACAGGGTTTAGAGGTGCCAGCTCCTCAAACAGTCATACAATCCTCTAATAACTTTTTTTATCTCCCACAACAGCTTATTGTTGACTGGCCCACTTATGGGTAATATAAACATTAGATTAATCCATATATTGTATGTCATATGTATTACATACTATACTCATGATAAAGTGAGCTAGGGAAAGAAAATGTTGATGAGAATCATAGGAAGAAAAACTACGGCTCCAGTGGCGCAATTGGTTAGCGCGTGGTACTTATAAGAAGAAAAACTGTATTTACTATTCATTAAGTGGAAGTAGATCATCATAAAGGTTTTCATCCTTGTTGTCTTCACAGTGAATAGGCTGAGTAAGAGGAAGGGTTGGTCTTGCTGTCCCAGGGGTAGCAGAGACTGAAGAATATTCATATATAAGTGGAGCTGTGTGCAGTTCAAACCTGTGTTGTTGAAGAGTCAAGTGTCCTTTGGTGAATGAATCATGCATGATTGTAGTACCTGTAAAATCTTAGAGTTTTTCTATAATTTTGTAAAAATTTTTAGTGATTTTTCTGGGTCTACCTTTTAGAAATGAAATGGGAGGACCAGAACATTGAAGATCAGTGCCAAAATCACAGGAGAAATCTAAGGTAATTTGCACTCACAAAAGAAAGCTATGTCCCTGGAGTGGTTCATAGAATGATAAGAAAATTTTAAAAACAAGCAAAGAAGGTGGGGCGTGGTGGCTCCCTCCTGAAATCCCAGCACTTTGGGAGCCTGAGGTGGATAGATCATGAGGTCAGGAGATCAAGACCATCCTGGCTAACGTGGTAGAACCCTGTCTTTACTAAAAATACAAAAAATTAACTGGCTGTGGTGGCGAGTGCCTGTAATCCCAGCTACTTGGGAGGCTGAGGCAGGAAAATCACTTGAACCTGGGAGGCGGAGGTTGCAGTGAGTCAAGATCACTCCACAGCACTCCAGCCTGGGTGAGAGAGTGAGACAAAAGCAAAGAGATTGAACAAACCCAGCTTAAATTTATTCATTCTAATAATCCTTTTTCTAACCAAGTGCAGTGGCTCACACATGTATTCCCAGCCAAGGTAAGATTGCTTGAGCCTAGGAGTTTGAGATCAGCCTGGGCAGCATAGTAAGTTTCCCCATATCTGTAAAAAAAAAAATTTTCCGGGCCAGGCGCAGTGGCTCACGCCTATAATCCCAGCACTTTGGGAGGCCAAGGTGGGTGGATCACGAGGTCAAGAGATCGAGACCATCCTGGTCAACAAGGTGAAACCCCATCTCTACTAAAAATACAAAAATTAGCTGGGCATGGTGGCGCACGCCTGTAGTCCCAGCTACTCGGGAGGCTGAGGCAGGAGAATTGCTTGAACCCAGGAGACGGAGGTTGCAGTGAGCCGAGATCGTGCCATTGCACTCCAGTCAGGGTAACAAGAGCGAAACTCTATCTCAAAAAAAAAAAAAATGTTCCCCAGGAACACATAGTTAAATGTGACATAGCTGTTCAGTCTTTGCAAAATAGTTCCCTCCGAAACGGTATTAAGAATCCCCATGTGAGGCCGGGTGCGGTGGCTCACGCCTATAATCCCAGCACTTTGGGAGGCTGAGACAGGTGGATCACGAAGTCAAGAGATCGAGACCATCCTGGTCAACAAGGTGAAACCCCATCTCTACTAAAAATACAAAAATTAGCTGGGCATAGTGGCGCACGCCTGTAGTCCCAGCTACTCGGGAGGCTGAGGCAGGAGAATTGCTTGAACCCAGGAGACGGAGGTTGCGGTGAGCTGAGATTGGGCCATTGCACTCCAGCCTGGGTAACAAGAGCAAAACTCTGTCTCAAAAAAAAAAAAAAAAAAAGAATCCCCATGTGAATATCACGATTTTGCTAATAGCTGTGATGGAGCCATCTTACACTGCACTGTCACTTCACACTCAAACAGGGCATGAAGCCTGTACTTTGCATGATAATGTTAAAAATGTAAATCTAGTACTTTAATACGTATAAAAACACTTACAAGCAAACCTTTAGTAATATACTTCTTTGTTACAGAAGTCATACATGTGAAATTATTGATAACAGTCAATGTGGAGAAACTTTTAGCCAAATTCCAGAGAGTATTGTGAACAAGAACACTCCTGGAGTAGATCCATGTGACAGCAGTGAGTGTGAAGTCGTCATGGGTCATTCATCTCTTAATTGCAATGTCAGAATTGACACTGGACACAAATCATGGGAGCATCAGGAATATGGAGAGAAGCCATATACACATAAACAACGTGGGAAAGCCAATAGTCATCAGCACTGCTTTCAGACACATGAAAGGCCTCCCACTGGAAAGAAACCCTTCGATTGTAAAGAATGCGCAAAAACTTTCAGTTCTCTTGGAAACCTTCGAAGACACATGGCAGCACACCATGGAGATGGACCTTATAAATGTAAGTTATGTGGGAAAGCCTTTGTTTGGCCCAGTTTATTTCATTTGCATGAAAGAACTCACACTGGAGAGAAACCGTATGAATGTAAGCAGTGTTCTAAAGCCTTTCCTTTTTATAGTTCCTATCTAAGACATGAGAGAATACACACGGGAGAGAAAGCATATGAATGTAAGCAGTGTTCCAAAGCCTTCCCTGATTACAGTACCTATCTAAGACATGAAAGAACTCACACGGGAGAGAAACCCTATAAATGTACACAATGTGGGAAAGCCTTCAGCTGTTACTATTACACTCGACTACACGAAAGGACTCACACTGGAGAACAACCCTATGCATGTAAGCAATGTGGCAAAACATTTTATCATCACACAAGCTTTCGAAGACACATGATAAGGCACACTGGAGATGGACCACATAAATGTAAGATATGTGGAAAAGGCTTTGATTGTCCTAGTTCAGTTCGAAATCATGAAACTACTCACACTGGAGAGAAACCCTATGAATGTAAGCAGTGTGGGAAAGTGTTATCTCATAGTTCCAGCTTTCGAAGTCACATGATAACACACACAGGAGATGGACCCCAGAAATGCAAGATATGTGGAAAAGCCTTTGGTTGTCCCAGTTTATTTCAAAGACATGAAAGGACTCACACTGGAGAGAAACCCTATACATGTAAACAATGTGGGAAAGCCTTCAGTCTTTCCGGTTCCCTTCGAAGACATGAAGCAACTCACAGTGGGGTGAAACCCTATAAATGTAAATGTGGGAAAGCCTTTAGTGATCTCTCTTCCTTTCAAAATCATGAAACAACTCACACTGGAGAAAAGCCATACGAATGTAAGGAATGTGGGAAAGCGTTCAGTTGTTTCAAATACCTTTCTCAGCATAAAAGGACCCACACAGTAGAAAAACCTTATGAGTGTAAAACATGTAGGAAAGCCTTTGGTCATTTCAGTAACTTAAAAGTCCATGAAAGAATTCACTCTGGAGAGAAGCCATATGAATGTAAGGAATGTGGGAAAGCATTCTCTTGGCTCACTTGCCTTCTAAGACATGAAAGAATCCACACTGGAGAGAAACCCTATGAATGTCAGCAATGTGGTAAATCCTTCACTCGTTCCCGTTTCCTTCGAGGACATGAAAAAACTCACACTGGAGAGAAGCTGTATGAATGTAAGGAATGTGGGAAGGCATTGAGTTCTCTGCGTTCCTTGTATAGACATAAAAGGACTCACTGGAAAGACTCTCTGTAAATGTATGGAATGTGGGAAAACTTATTCAGTACTTTTATTTAATTTCGGAAACTTGAAAGAACTCACTTTAGAGACAGACCCTATGAATGTAAACGTGATAAAGCCTTAAGTAGTTTCAATTTTTTAAATACAGTTATCCCCCAATATACACAGGGGATTGGTTCCAGCACCCCCTAAATCCACAGATGCCCAGTCCTTCCTTATATGGCATATTTGCATGTAACCCGTGCACATCCTCATGTATACTGTGTAAATCATCTCTAGATTACTATTAATACCTCATGCATTGTAAAAGCTATGTAAATAGTTGTTTGGATTGTTAGAGATTCATGACAAGAAAAATAGTCTCTATGTGTTAATGTAGACACAGCCATTGCAGGCTCACCCACATAGTATATGTCACCTACATAGTATAGTATAAAATTTGTTTTAATATTCACAGATTGATTTTGTTTTGTGACCTGAGTGAGCATGTTAACACTCATCAAAATCCTGCTTCTCTCTTGATAACCCATGTATACTTATGGTGATGTTGATTGCTGTGTGGTGCCTAACATTGTCACGTGCTGTAGCATTACAGATAAGCAGTGAGACATCAGGCTAACTTGAATCTTGACAGAATGTCAGGATGATCATCAATGTTGGAAGAACTAGGTTCTGACTGCAGATGTTGACTTGTTGGAGGAGGCTAAATAATACTAATGTTGTGATCTGTTCAGCCTCAGGGTTGCAGATCCTTAACCATGGAAGGTTCTGTGTTTATATTTGCAGGTGCCTAGTGAGAAATATAGGAAGCTAGTTTTTCTTTTTCTTTTTTTGAGTCATCAAAAAAATCTTGCAGTGTTTGTTGGCATGTTATTCCAGGGTGACATGGAGGCTTTGTTCCATCAAAGGATCTTACTTAAGGATGATAAACTTTCTTAACACTTTTGCCTGTTGAAAAACTGCTGCAAATTTTTCAAGTGTCCAAATCTGTGGCACTGCCTCTTTTTTTTTGAGATGGAGTTTCGCTGTTGTTACCCAGGCTGGAGTGCAATGGCACGATCTCAGCTCACTGTAACCTCCGCCTCCTGGGTTCAAGCAATTCTCCTGCCTCAGCCTCCCGAGTAGCTGGGACTACAGGCGCGCACCACCATGCCCAGCTAATTTTTTTGTATATTTAGTAGAGACGGGGTTTCACCTTGCTAACCAGGATGGTCTCGATCTCTTGACCTCATGATCTACCCGCTTCGGCCTCCCAAAGTACTGGGAGTATAGGCGTGAGCCACAGCGCCCGGCCGGCACTGCCTCTTTTAAGGCATCATCATCATCATCAATCTATAGAGCATCTCAGCAGATCTTTGAGTTCCTTGTTGTAAGAATTTATGCTCTTCTGTGTGTTATTCAACATTGTCTTCAGTCCTGTCAGAGATAGGCTTTCTTACCAACTTCCCTTGCGGTATTTAAGATATTCCTGGCTGGGCATGGTGGCTCACACCTGTAATTCCAGCACTTTGGGAGGCCGAGGTGTGTGGATCACCTGAGGTCAAGTTCGAGACCAGCCTGAGCAATATGATGAAACCCTGTCTCTACTAAGAATACAAAAATCAGCCAGGCATGGTGGCATTCGCCTGTAATCCCAACTACTTGGGAGGCTAAGACAGGAGAATCGCTTGAAACTGGGAGGTGGAGTTTGCAGTGAGCCAAGATCATGCTATTGCACTGTGACGTGGGCAACAAGAGCAAAACACTATCTCAAAAAAAAAAAAAAAAAAAAAGATATTCCTAACTACTGCATCAGTAGTGGGGAAGCTCCAAAATCATTGACTCCCTGACTCCATAATTGCTTCCAGCTGGCTTTGGGTTTGTTGAGCTTTGGGGCATCTATAGCCTCTGGAATAAGGACAGTTGCATGTACGATTGTGAAGTGCTTTCATAAATCCATTGTGGTTCAGTCAGAGTTAACATCAGGATGGCATGAATCCTCCTGAAGGTCAGTTGGGTATAGGTCAGTCAATCTACTTGATTATGCCTTGACTGAGTAGCTGTCATTGTGATGTCATGTTAAGCAGCAGGGACATCACTTCTACATTCTTATTGGCAAAGAAGAGAGAGTGGAGATGGCCAGGAGCATTGTCAATTATGAGGAGGACCTTGAGTGGCAGCCCCTTCTCTTCAAAGTATTTCTTCACATCAGGAATAAAGCCTCGGTAGAACCATTCCAAGGACAAGATGGCCATCACCCACGCCTTCTTGTATTTTTGCCACAATGGAGGCAGGCAAGTTTTGCTTTTGTTCTAAAGGACCTAGGGATTGTTTGCTTAGTAGCCAAGGCCTGGCCTATTCTTGTGACCTGCTACATTGCCACACTTCACCAGAGTAGGTGATCTTTCCAGGCCCTGAACCCCAGGGCCTCCTTGGCATTCATGGATGCAGGTACCACTGGTTGGAGAACTTGCTCTGGAAGGTAGACTTTTTTTTTTTTTTTTTTTTTTTGAGATGGAATCTCGCCCTGTCACCCAGGCTGGAATGCAGTGGTGTGTTCTTGGCTCACTGCAACTCTGCCTCCTGGGTTCAAGCAATTCTCATGCTTCAGCCTCCTGAGTAACTGGGAATACAGGCACATGCCACCATGCCGGGCTAATATTTGTATTTTTAGTAGAGACGGGGTTTCACCATGCTGGTCAGGCTGGCCTTGAACTCCTGACCATGATCCATCCATCTTGGCCTCCCTAAGTGCTGGGATTATAGGCATGAGCCACTGTGCCTGGCTGGTAGACTTTATGAGTTTTGTGAGCTCTGCTGGGAATGCTAATATTGCCTTGGCATAAGCCAATGCTGATTCTCCTGTGGTCTTTAAATTTTTGAGGCTCTGATGCTTTATGTAACCAGCCCAGCCAGACAATACTGGCTCAAAACTCCTTTCTCTTGCTCTCCTCAACCTTCTCACAGTAGTATTCATAGAGGCTGTTTTTTCACACTTTATTATCAAAAGGGAGGTGCAGTGATATGTCCTCTAGCTACACACTTAACGCTTTCTCAGTCTTTAGACTGAGGGGTCATTTTTCCCATTGTAGAGGCAGCTCTAACACTTCCAAGAATTTCAGCTTCTTTCTGCTTTAGTGCGTGAATGCTTAGCTTATTCTTACCATATGGCCTACTTTCAAAAGTGACATGGAATTTTTCAAAACATCTCTCTAAGATTTTTATTTTCTCATTGCGAAATAGTACTTGCTCACTGCTAGCCTTTTAGGGATAGCTTTGACCACTTGATTACTGATTTTTTTTTTTTTTTTGAGACAGAGTCTCACTCTGTCGCCTAGGCTGTGGTGCAGTGGAGCGATCTTGGCACACTGCAACCTCTGTCTCCTGGGTTCAAGCAATTCTCCTGCCTCAGCCTCTTGAGTAGTTGGGATTTCAGGCATGTGCACCACACCCAGCTAATTTTTGTATTTTTAGGAGAAATAGCGTTTCACCATGTTGGTCAGGCTGCTCTCGAACTTACCTTGTGATCGCCCTCCTTGGCCTCCCAAAGTGCTGGAATTATAGGCATGAGCCACCACGCTCGGCCTACTTGATTACTTTTTAAGAGCCATTTTCCCACATTTTTCCATTTTTTAAATATGGCACCTCAAGGAAATCTGAAGAGACAAAACAAGAATTGAAAAACAAGAACAAGGCTAGGCACAGTGGCTCACACCTATAATCCCAGCCCTTTGAGAGGCCAAGGCAGGCGGATCACCTGAGGTTGGGAGTTCAAGACCAGCCTGACCAACATGGAGAAACTTTGTCTCTACTAAAAATACAAAAATTAGCTGAGTATGATGGCATATACCTGTAATTCCAGCTACCCAGGAGGCTGAGAAGGAAAATCACTTAAACCCAGGAGGCGGAGGTTGCAGTGAGCTGAGATCGTGCCATTGCACTCCAGCCTGGGCAACAAGAGTGAAACTCCGTATCAAAAACAAAAAAAGAAAAAGAAAAGAACAGGCCAGGCACGGTGGCTCACGCCTATAATCCCAGCACTTTGCGAGGCTAAGGCGGGTGGATCACGAGGTCAAGAGATAAAGACCATCCTGGTCAACATGGTGAAACCCCGTCTCTACTAAAAATGCAAATATTAGCTGGGCATGGTGGCGCACACCTGTAGTCCCAGCTACTCGGGAGGCTGAGGCAGGAGAATTGCTTGAATCCAGGAGGTGGAGGTTGCGGTGAGCTGAGATCGCGCCATTGCACTCCAGCCTGGGTAACAAGAGCAAAACTCTGTCTCAAAAAAAAAAAAACAAAGTTGGTGGACTTACACTTCCTGATTTCAAGACTTAAACTTCCTAATTTCAAAACTTACAGCAAATTTATACTAATAAAAACAATTTAGTACTAGCATACTGACACAAAAATAGACCATTGTGACCAAATAGCACAGAAATACACCTTTGCATATTGAGTCCAACAATTTTTTTTTTTTTGAGACTGAGTTTCACTCTTGTTGCCCAGGCTGGAGTACAGTGGCGCAATCTTGGCTCGCCGCAACCTCTGCCTCCTGTGTTCAAGTGATTTTCCTGCCTCAGCCTCCCAAGTAGCTGGGAATACAGGCATCCGCCACCATGCCTGGCTAATTTTGTATTTTTAGTAGAGATGGGGTTTCTCCATGTTGGTTAGAATGGTCTCGTTCTCGTGACCTCGTGATCTGCCTGCCTTAGCCTCCCAAAGTGCTGGGATTACAGGCATGTGAGCCACCATGACCGGCCGAGTCCAACAATTTTTGACAAGCGTACTATGATGATACAATGGAAGACAGGCTAGTATTTCCATAGAATGATGCTAGGGGAAAATGCACATCCATATGCAACAGAAAGAAAATGTACGCTTCCCTAACATAGACAAAAGTCAACTTAAAATGAATGATGGCTAGGCGTGGTGGCTTATGCGTGTAATCATAGTGCTTGAGGAGGTCAAGGTGGGAGGATTGCTTGAGGCCAGGAGTTCAAGACCAACCTGGATAACTTCGTGAGACTCCATCTCTAAAACAAAACAAAGTTAGCCAGGTATGAGAGTATGTACCTCTACTCCCAACTGCTTGGCAGGCTGAGGTGGGAGGATTGCTTTAGCCCAAGTGTTCAGTGCTACAATGAGGCATGATTGCACCACTGGACTCCAGCCTAGGCAACAGAGCAAGACTCTGACTCAAAAGAAAAAAAAGGATGAAAGACTTAAGTGTAAATCATCATAAATCTATAAACTCTTAGATGAAAGTATAAGGCCAGGGGCGGTGGCTCATACTTGTAGTCTCAGCATTTGGAGAGGCAGAGGCAGGTGGACAAGGTCAGGAGTTCAAGACCAACCTGGCGAGCATGGTGAAACCCCATCTCTACTAAAAATACAAAAAATTAGGGGGCATGGTGGTGCATGCGTGTAATCCCAGCTACTCAGGAGGCTGAGGTAGGAGAATTGCTTGAACTCTGCAGGGAGAGGTTGCAGTGAGCCGAGGTTGAGCCACTGCACTCCAACCTGGCAACGGAGCGAGACTCTGTCTTAAAAAAAAAAAATAGTATAAGGCAAAAGCTTTATGAACCTGGATTTTGCAATGATTTCCTGGATATGACACGAAAAGCATGACTCATAAGAGAAAAAAATAAATGGAAATGTGTGGAATTTCAAAACTTTTGGCATCAAAATAGGCAACCCATAGAATGAGAGAAAGTATTTCCAAGTCATATATCTGACAAGGAATTAATATGCCGACTGCTTAGAGAACTGTAAAAAGTCAGCAACAGGACCAGGCACAGTGGCTCATACCAGTAATCCCAGCACTTTTTGAGGCCGAGGTGGGCAGATCACGAGGTCAGGAGTTTGAGACCAGACTGACCAACGTGGTGAAACCCCCCCATCTCTACTAAAAATACAAAAATTAGCTGGCCATGGTGGCACACCTGTAATCCCAGCTACTCAGGAGGCTGAGGCAGGAGAATTGATTAAACCTGGGAGGTGAAGGTTGCAGTGAGCCAAGATCACGCCACTGAACTCCAGCCTGGGTAACAGAGCAAGACTCTGTCTCAAAAAAAAAATAGGGCCAGGCGCGGTGGCTCACGCCTGTAATCCCAGCACTTTGGGAGGCCGAGGCAGGTGGATCACGAGGTCAAGAGATCAAGACCATCCTGGTCAACATGGTGAAACCCCATCTCTGCTAAAAATACAAAAAATTAGCTGGGCACGGTGGCGCGTGCCTGTAATCCCAGCTACTCAGGAGGCTGAGGCAGGAGAATTGCCTGAACCCAGGAGGCGGAGGTTGCAGTGAGCCGAGATCGCGCCATTGCACTCCAGCCTGGGTAACAAGAGCGAAACTCCGTCTCAAAAACAAAAGAAAACAAAAACGAAGTCAAAACAATGAAAAGCAGACCACCTGTTATGGAGTAAATGTGTCCTCTTAAAATTCACTCATTCTAATTCATTTCCCTAATGTGAAAAGTTAGGGAATGTCTTCTTTGGAATATAATATGGATTGGGTTGGATTATAAGAGTGGAGCCTCAAGAATGAGATTGGTTACCTAATGTGGGTCCTCCAACAGCTTGCTTTTTTTTTTCTTCTTTTTTGCTTTTATGATAATCTAGACAAAAGCTTGCTTTTTTGCTCTCTGCCTTGGAGGATACATTAGGGTAGCTATCTGTGAGGCTAGTCATGGTGGTTCATGCCTATAATCTTAGAACTTTTGGAGGCTGAGTTGGGCAGAACACCTTGAGCCCAGGAGTTCAAGACCAGCCTGAGCAACATGATGAAGCCCCATTTCTACAAAAATGAGCTGGTCATGGTGGCACATGCCTGTAGTTCCAGCTACTCAGGAAGCTGAGATGGGAGGCTCACCCGAGCCCAGGAAAGCCAAGGCTGCAGTGAGCTGTGATCACGCCACTGCACTCTAGCCTGGGTGACAGAGAAAACAAACAAAACAAAAGAGACAGCTATCTATGAGTCAGAAAACAGTCACTCGTCAGACACTAAATCTGCCAGTACCTAAATTTTTTCTAATTTTGTCTTTGGACACTGGGAAGAGCTCACAAAAGAGGACAGGCAGCCTGGGTACGGTGGCTCATGCCTATAATGCCAGCACTTTAGGATGGGGAGGCAGGAGGATCGCTTGAACCCAGGAGTTCAAGACCAGCCTAGGCAGTGTGGCAAGACCCCATCTCTAAAAAAATTAAATAAAAAGATACATGGAGAAAGCTTTCATCTTACTAGGGTACATAAAAAAATCAAGTACAAAATGTTGGTGAATGTAGGGACAATAAAGGCAATACTGATGTGGTCTCAGAATTGAGGATAAATATGATTGCATAATAGGGAAGAGATGAACTGTTGTAAAAAGTTGCAAAAAACTTGGTGCATTTTGCTCCAGTGCTACTGTTTTGGGGAAAGTAGAACTAGGAAGTGATGAAACTTGATATTGAGTTGACAATATTTCTTAGAAGTGTTGAAACTTGGTTCCTCTTGACTGCATATATTAAAATGTGAGGAGAAGCCGGGCACCATGGCTCACACCTGTAATCCCAGGACTTTGGGAGGTTGAGGGCAGATTACTTGAGGTTAGGAGTTTGAGACCAGCGTGGCCAACATGGTACAACCCTGTCTCTACTAAAAATACAAAAATTAGCCTGTTGTGGTGGCGCGTGCCTGTAATCCTAGCTGCTCAGGGGGCTGAGGCACAATTGCTTGAACTCGGGTGGCAGAGGTTGCAGTGACCCAAGATCACACCACTGCACTCCAGCCTGGGTGATAGAGTGAGAGTCTATCTCAAAATAAATAAATAAATAAATAAATAAATAAATAAATAAATAAATAAATGTGAGTAGAGAAAAATGTTGGAGATGGAATTATTAAGCAAGAAGAAATGGAAATGAAAATGTTTATAAAACAATTATTGCAAAGATGGAAAGGGAAAGGCATGTTGGGAGGAAAACACCAAGGGCGTGTCCAAGACCTTTTGGTAGGAAGAGTAGTATGCTTGTGAACCGTGGACCTAGCTACCTCAGCAGTAAAATAGCCCCTTTGGGCCACTGCACCCAAAGGGGCTATTTTACTGAATGTAATCTAGTAGTTTGGCTCAAGCCTGTAATCTCAGCACTTTGGGAGGCCAAGGTGGCAGATCACGTGAGGTCAGGAGTTCAAGACCAGCCTGGCCAACATGGTGAAACCCTGTCTCTACTAAAAATACAAAAATTAGCCGGGCATGGTGGCCCATGCCTGTAATCCCAGCTACTCAGGAGGCTGAGGCAGAATAATCGCTTGAACCTGTAAGGCGGAGGTTGCAGTGAGCCAAAGTGGCACCACTGCACTCCAGCCTAGGCAGTAGAGCAAGACTCCCATCTTAAAAAAAAAAAAAAAAAAGCTCATTTGAACTGAAAGTGAAGGTCACAGGAAGAAATGAATGAAAGTTGTTGGACCTGTATGATTTTACAGGAAATATCCACAGATACTTGCTATACTATTCTTAGAGATGGGTGGACCACTTGAGGTCAGGAGTTCAAGACCAGCCTGGCCAACATGGTGAAACCCCATCTCTACTAAAAATACAAAACTAGCCAGGCAGGGTAGCACACGCCTGTAATCCCAGCTACTTGGGAGGCTGAGGCAGAATTGCTCGAACACAGGAGGCGGAGGTTGCAGTGAGCTAAGATCACGCCATTGCATTCCATCCTGGACAACAAGAGCGATACTTGGCTGGGTACGGTGGTGCATGCCTGTGATCCCAGCACTTTGTGAGGCCCAGGTGGGTGGATCGATCATGAGGTCAGAAGATTGAGACCATCCTGGCCAACATGGTGAAACCCCGTCTCTTAAAAAAAAAAAAAAGAAGGCCGGGTGCGGTGGCTCAAGCCTGTAATCCCAGCACTTTGGGAGGCCAAGGTGGGTAGATCATGAGGTCAAGATATCGAGACCATCCTGGTCAACATGGTGAAACCCTGTCTCTACTAAAGATACAAAAAATTAGCTGGGCATGGTGGCGCGTGCCTGTAATCCCAGCTACTCGGGAGGCTGAGGCAGGAGACTTGCCTGAACCCAGGAGGCGGAGGTTGCGGTGAGCCGAGATCGCGCCATTGCACTCCAGCCTGGGTAACAAGAGCGAAACTCCGTCTCAAAAAAATAAAAATAAAAATAAATTTCATTAGTTGAATAGATAGTGGATTTGTTTTGGTAAAGTCAGTTAATAGAATTTTTCCTTTCATTTCGTATTCGCTTGGATCCTTGAGTTGCTTGAAGTTTATGTGCAATAGACATGTAGATTTAATTTTTTTTCTTTTTAGAGACAGCATCTCACTCTGTCATCCAGGCTAGAGTACAGTGGTGTGATCATAGCTCACGGCAGCCTTGAACACCTGGGCTCATGGCATCCTCCTGCCTCAGTGTCCCAAGTAGTTGAGACTATTGGTGCATGGAACCAAACTCAGGTAACTTTTTTTTGTAGAAATTGCTATCTTGCTCAGGCTGGTCTTGAACTCCTGGCCTTGAGCCATCTTCCTGCCTCAATCTCCAAAGTATTATGATTGCAGGCATGAGTCATGGTGCCTGGCAACAAGTTTAATTCTCGTATGGTTTTTAAATCGATGCCTAACTAAAGAGCCTTTGAAACATGACACTTAGTATTTGTTGTGATTTACTACTGGTGTTGTGTGGCAGGTACAGGATATCCGCCCCCACCCCACCCCCGAACTCTAATGTCTAACTCTCATGTCAGACAGTGACTTTTGGCCCTCAGAGGAAGCAGAAACCTCTCTCCTCCATCATGTTCTGCCCATCCCCTTCCAGGATCCTCGTGTTTTTCTGGCTTGCCTGTGTGCGTGCTTCCCTGAATCCCAGGGTGAGCACACTGGTCGCAGGGTGCGAGCACTACGGCCTCAGTGTGTTGCTGACTGCACACACAGTCACTCCTGGTCAGTTCCCATAAGTGGCCATTCCTGTACTTCAGGAGCAGTGGGACATGCCATGGTAGTTCAGGAAAGGCAGCCTCGCCCTTGGCCACATGGTCTTCTTGGGACCATCTCTCTAGTGTCCTCTCCCAGTTCCAGCCCAAGCATTTGGCAACCCTTCTGGATCTCCACCATCTCAGACATTCTGTTGATTCAAATAGCTCAGTGGTGAGGAATATGCAATACCCTTAGGGCTGAATCAGGTTGAGGGGGAAGCTTATGAGACATACTTCTCAAACTTTCACAGGAAACATGGATCTTCAAATTCAGTTTCTGATTCAGCAGGATAAGAGTAGGACGTGAGGTTGGGCACAGTGGCTGACACCTGTAATCCCAGTACTTTGGGAGGCCGGGATGGGCAGATCACCTGAGGTTGGGAGTTCGAGACCAGCCTTACCAATATGGAGAAACCCCGTCTCTACTAAACATACAAAATTAACTGAATGTGGTAGCACATGCCTGTAATCCCAGCTACTCGAGAGGCTGAGGCAGGAGAATTGCTTGAACCTGGGAGGCTGAGGTTGCAGTGAGTTGAGAGTACGCCATTGTACTCCAGCCTGGACAACAAGAGCAAGACTCCATCTAAAAAAAAAAGAGTAGGACATGAGAATCTGCATTCCTTTTCTTTTTTTTTTTTTTTTTTTGAGACGGAATTTCACTCGTTACCCAAGCTGGAGTGCAATGGCGCGATCTCGGCTCACCGCAACCTCCGCCTCCTGGGATCAGGCAATTCTCCTGCCTCAGCCTCCTGAGTAGCTGGGATTACAGGCACGCAACATCATGCCCAGCTAATTTTCTTTGTATCTTTAGTAGAGACGGGGTTTCACCATGTTGACCTGGATGGTCTCGATCTCTTGACCTCGTGATCCACCCGCATTGGCCTCCCAAAGTGCTGGGATTACAGGCTTGAGCCACCGCGCCCGGCAGAGAATCTGCATTCCTAACTTGCTTCCAGGTGTTATCCGTGTTGTTGATCCTTAGATTTCAATAGGCAGGCAGGGGCCAGATTACATGGGATCTTGTCAGCCATGTTATGGACAGTTTCTGGATTTTGAGCAAAGCAGCAATTTTCATTAGCGTTTGAAGAAACTTACTCCTTCTCTTGGGTGGAAAAAAAGATGGTAGAGGGGAGCTGGAGGACCAGTTTGAAAACCATAGTAGTACTTGCAAGACAGGTTGTGCTAGCCTGGATTTGGATAATATTAGTGGATCTTAACAGAAGGTAGAAATCTAGATATGAACCTGAGCTGTGTTTTTGGAACTGGGTGGGATGGTAGAGAAAGGCCCTACCATTACCACTATTTAGTGGAGTCTGGACATAAAGGACCAATGGTGATGGTGTTCAGTGCAGTAGAGAAGGGTGTGGGGATCTGAGCGCATATGATGATGGAGGGGATTTTCAAACTAGTCTGAGAGGTTAGTGGAGGCTTCCCTGGTGCGAACACTGATGCTCCAATGAAAACCTGAAGCCTGGCCAGGTGCAGGGGCTCACTCCTGTAATCCCAGCACTTTGGGAGTCTGAGGCAGGAGGATCCTGAGGTCAAGAGATTGAGACCATCCTGGCCAACATGGTGAAACTCGGTCTCTACTAAAAACACAAAAATTAGCTGGGTGTAGTGGTGTGCGCCTGTAATCCCAGCTACTCGGGAGGCTGAGGCAGGAGACTTGCCTGAACCCAGGAGGTGGAGGTTGCGGTGAGCCGAGATCGTGCCACTGCACTCCAGTCTGGGTAACAACAGCAAAACTCTGTCTCAAAAAAAAAAAAAAAGAATACTCTAAGTATAAAAGACAGCCTAAATGTGTATTTCTTCACAAGTAAAAATCAGTTGACAGGTTGTTGTTACAACATCAAAATGTAATATGAGTGTATTTTATTTACAAATAACACCATACAAGAAGTGGACAAACCCAGTGACTGCCAATGGCAAAGTCATAATCATAAGAATATATTATTCTGTGTGGAACCCCAAGAGCTGTTACACATGTAACAAAATACCCCAAGGATGCAAAAATATGAAAGCTACAGATAATAAATATTTTTGTACATCACTGAAAATTAGCCATACATCACAAGAAAAGTAATGCTGATGGCAAGAGGTTATCATTTACATGATAAACAACAGTAGTCACTACAAAATGTAAGAATAATGATAAAAAATAAATAATTCTACATGTAAAGACATTGGATGAAAGCAGAATTTACTGACCTTCTGAAGGAAAACTGGACTCTGCATACATTTCATATTATTAGGGGGATCAGATTGCCCTCATTCATCCTACTTTGAAATTCTCATGTTGGCCGGGCACGGTGGCTCACGCCTGTAATCTCAGCACTTGGGGAGGCCGAGGTGGATGGATCACCTGAGGTTAGGAGTTCAAGACCAGCCTGGCCAATATGGTGAAACCCTGTCTTTAAAAAAATAGAAAGAAATTCTCATATTACAGCACATATTTCTCCTTCAACATCAGCTCTACTATTGAAATCAGGAAATTCTTTGCTGTGAGTATAATGACCCTTCCGTGATTTCTTGAACTTCCAGCCCAGGTACAAAATTAGAGGTCAACCATTCTACATTTTGTAGTATGTTTTCTCCATTTTGGAAAATCTGTATTGCATTGTTACTATTTTCAGTTTCCTCTGCTTAATTCTCTCATAATCTGGAAGATTTGTTCAATGAAACGTTGCTATCTTCAACTTATGTTTATGTTCCTGCAGAGAAAATTAAAATTATCCCTTCTCAACAGATGACCAAAGGGTGTTAGCATATATCGTGGGTCTGAAGTGAGTGAGGACCATGAGGCAGGATACATCACCCAGGAAGTAACCATGTCCTTGGGACTCAGCAATCACACAATCAACACAATAAGCCTCAGCAGGCCAGATGCAGTGGCTCATGCCTGTAATCTCACCACTATTGGGAGGCTGAGGTGGGCAGAACATTTGAGGTCAGGAGTTCGAGACCAGCCTGGCCAACATGGCAACCCGTCTCTACTAAAAAAAAAATACAAAAATTACCTGGGCATGGTGGCAGGCACCTGCAATGCAACTACTTGGGAGGCTGAGGCAGGAGAATTGCTTGAACCCGGGAGGCAGAGATTGCAGTGAGTTGAGATCATGCCATTGCACTCCAGCTTGGGTAACAGAGCAAGACTCCATCTCAAAAAGAAAAAAAAAGTATCAACATTCCCACTGTAGTCAAGCTCATTCAACCAAAGCTGCATGAGTATTTTGATTTTACTGACCTTCAGACTGATCCTTTGCTCATTATAATTGTAAAAAACACATCTCTGGGCGGAGATTTAAAATGCTTATGAGGTGTGACACAGGAACAAGGATGTGCAGCAACTGTGCATGTGCACCCAGAGGACCACCCAGAATGTGCTCACTAGTAACGCCTCTTCCCAGCCCCTTATGAGTAGCCATGTGAGATTCCCATAAAAGGAGTCTCCCTAGTGCCACTGTTTGCTGTCTCTTCCTTATAAGCAGCCTGCCCCGAATCCTCGCTCTCTCAGGGTATACTGTCTGTTCTGCACTTAACTCTTAAAATACTCTTTTTTGTTTGTTATAAATTGCCATACACTGCATCTCCTTTTCTATGTGTCTTATTTATATCCTTTTAAACAACAAAGACAGCAACCAAGATCTCACAGCAGCCATCAACAACCAGATGAGGAGAGAAAGGTAAGGCAGTAAATGTTCATGCATCGAATCTAAAGGTGGCATCAGAGGCAAAGCAAGTGTGTGGAAACAGGTCCTTCACGGACAAGGAAAAATTGGACAAACAGTGTTGAGGACAAAGAGGGATTGAACCAAGGACTGCTTGGTATGCTGGTGGTCCAGTGGGGTCTTTGTGGTACTGTGGGTCCCCACTCTTTTAATGCTGCTAAACTGCAGATAAAATACAAGTTATTATTTTAACAATTTTTTGTTCTTGTTTAGTGGGAAATATGAGAAACATTTTTTTACTGCATTTTAGGTTTTGGGGTACATGTGAAGAACATGCAAGATTGTTGCATAGAATACACGCACACGAATGTTCACTGCAGCACAGTTTACAATAGCAAGACCTGGAACAATTTTTTGTCTTTTGAGATGGAGTGTCGCTCTGTCACCCAGGCTGGAGTGCAGTGGCACAATCTCGGCTCACTGCAACCTCCACCTCCCTAGTTCAAGTGATTCTCTGGCCTCGGCCTCCTGAGTAGCTGGAATTACAGGCCTGCACCTCCATGCCCAAATCCTTTTTATATTTTCAGTAGAGACAGGTTTTTGCCATTTTGGCCAGGATGGTCTTGAACTCCTGACATCAGGTGATCCACCCGCCTTGGCAAAGTGTGAGCCACCATGCCCGGCACATCTGAACAATTTTTAAGTATAGAATGACTGGCTTTCAGTACATTTATATTGGTGTGCAGCCGTCACCACCATGCAGCTCCAAAAAACCTTTCATCTTGCAAAATTAAAACTTCATGCTGATTAAATCCTAAATCCCTATTACCCACTTCCCCTGATTCCACACAATCACCATTCTACTTTCTTTATGAATTTGACAACTCCGAGTACCTCATATAAGCAAAACATTTTGGGTCTAAAGTTTAAGGAGCCTATATTTGGCGTGAGAAATCAGGTGACCAGACCTTCTAAAGAATGTCTTCATATGAATGAATGATTTCTTTTCTTTTGAGACAGTCTCACTCTGTCACCAGGCTGGAGTGCAGTGACACGATCTTGGCTCCCTGCAACCTCCGCCTCCCGAGTTCAAGAGATTCTTCTGCCTCTCAGCCTCCCGAGTAGCTGGGACTACCGGCATGCGGCACTACTCCTGGCTTATTTTTTTATTTTTTGCAGATGGGGTTTTACCATGTTGGTCAGACTGGTCTTGAACTCCTCACCTCAAGTGACCCACCTACCTCAGCCTCTCAAACTGCTGGGATTACAGGCATGAGCCACAGCGCCTGGCTCTGCCCTTCTTTTTAAGACCGAGTAATGTTCTGTGCTATGCATATACTCTGTCTTGCTTATTCATCCATCTGTCAATATACAGGAGAATTGCTTCCACATTTTCCCCATTGGTAAGTTATGCTGTTATAACCACATGTATAAATACCCATTTCAGGCCCCTCTTTCTATTCTTTTGGTTATGTTCCCAGAAGAGGATAACGGTGGATAATTTGATTTCCATTTTTCATTGTATTGATTACCTGCCACACAGTTTTCAACAGTACTTGTCACATTTTCCATTTCCACCAATAGTGTACAGGGGTCATCATCATTCCACATTGTTGCCAGCATGTTACTTTGTTGTTCTTTTTTTTGAGACGGAGTTTCGCTTCTTACCCAGGCTGGAGTGCAATGGCGCGATCTTGGCTCACTGCAACCTCCGCCTCCTGGGTTCAGGCAGTTCTCCTGCATGGTGGCATGTGCCTGTAATCCCAGCTACTCAGGAGGCTGAGGTGAGCCGAGATCGTGCCACTGCACTCCAGCCTGGGTAACAAGAGCGAAACTCCGTCTCAAAACAACAACAACAAAAAACAGGAAACAAACTTATCCACTGTCAAAAATTCTCCAACCTACAAAGGAGAACTGAGATCATGCTACATATTTGTAATCCACCAGTATACTCTACCACACTTGCTTGTAGAAAAAAACTCATTTTTTCTGCAACCAAAATGGAAGAGTTTTTTCCCTATTCTTTTCCCTGGTAGTATTTTCATGCTAAGACCCAGAATTCCATTTGAAACCACCCAATAAAGGAGCTGAGAAACTTACTACGCAGGCTATGGGAAGAAAACTAAGGATCTTTTTTATAAGAGAATATAAAACTAGACTTTTCTTCCCCTGAAACCTACCTTGTTCTGGCATGTTTTGAAATACTTGATCTTGCCCATCAATCTCTAATGATACAGTGCATTTTACACTTACACTTATTAAAAACTGAAGCACCTGGGTATGGTGGCTCACACTTGTAATCCCAGCACCTTGGGAGGCCAAGGAGGGTGATCACCTGAGGGGTTTGAGACCAGCCTGACCAACATAGTGAAACCCCATCTCTTCTAAAAATACAAAATTAGTCAGGCGTGGTGGTACATGCCTGTAATCCCAGCTACTTGGGAGGCTGTGGCAGGACAATCCTTGAACCTGGAGGTGGAGATTGCGGTGAGCTGAGATCTCGCCATTGCACTCTAGCCTGGGCAAGAGTGACACTCCATCTCAAAATAAATGAAAAAGATGGAAACGTCAGTGTTTGAATATTTTCTGCACTGAACCACAGATCCAACGTTTGTGTTACCCTCCATCAGAGGTAACATCTGCAATCAGATGTTGGTTCTCCCAGCACATGATTCTACTGATGTGAAAATAGAAACTTCAAGTTAAACTGATGTCCCACGATTTATCTACACTGCCAACAATCTCAGCACCTCAAAACATTGTGGCTTTGGAAACCACAGAGAATCATATGATGGTTGTCAAGAACAAAAGATTTGCAGAATGTTACAACAAGCTTTCAGGCTATTAAATAAAACCAATCCACAACCGTTTTTTAAAAAAATGTTGGCATGGTGTGGTGGCTCATGCCTGTAATCCCAGCACTTTGGAAGGCTGAGGTGGGTGGATCACAAGGTCAGTTCGACAATAGTCTGGACAACATAGTGAAACCCCATCTCTATTAAAAATACAAATTAGCCTGGTGTGGTGATGGGCACCTGTAATCCCAGCTACTTGGGAGGCTGAGGCAAGAGAATCGCATGATCTTGAGTCAGAGGTTGCAGTGAGCCGAGATCAGCCTGTTGCACTCTAGCCTGGCCAACAGTGCCAGAATCCTCAGGAAAAAAATAGAAAATGTTTCATTGTAGCTGACATATACCATTACATACTATAGAGGTGGGCCTGTGATGGTTATATGTATTAAACATCTACAGATGTTTTTTGTCAGAATTGTGACCAGATGTGGTACTCACTGTTCCCCAATCCTAATTTTTCCCCCCCAGGTCCTTGGGCTCTTGTCCACCAAAGAATGGGTAGGAGGCCCTGGTGTGGTGATACTATTCAAGTAAATATTGAACCCAAAGGGGTCTGCAGAAAGTGATTCATTAGGCAGAGACACAGACAGAAGGAGAAACAGAGCAAGCAAGCTCCCATGCTGTCGTGGGTGGAGATCCAGAGACGGAGTCCACACAGGTTAGGGAGAAGGGGACTTTTAACCTGGGAGGTATTCTCGCCTCATTCTAGTTGTTGTCCAGTGAGAGTTCTTTTGAACTTCCGCTGGAATAACTGATCTTTGACCTCCGATTGGCTGTTTGGCCCACAGTCCTCCCATAGCTTTTCACAGGCTTTCTAAACCAAAGAACCTCACCTGGGCAGGTTTCCTTCCCTCCAGGACAAAAGTTAGACAAAGAACTCTAGGCTCCCAAACGGAGATGTAAAAGAAGGCAGGTCAGGCATGTTGCTGGAAGTTCTTGCCTTTGAAACCACACCCTTTATAGACCTGGGAAGAGAAGTTAATACATTCCCTCAAAATAACACAACCAAACAACCACTTTTACATCATTTACAATGCATTAAACATTATAGATAACCTACAGATGATTTAAAGTGTACAGAAAGGTGTGCTTACATTCTAGGAAAATACACCATTTTATATAAAGCACGTGAGCATCTTCATATTTAGCTATTCTGATTTAGTGCTGCAGCCAACACCTTGAGAATACCAGGAAATGACAGCACTTCAGAGAAACAGAAAATACACAAGGCTTTACCACATTCTTTATTTACATTCAGTTTCTCTCCAGAGTAAGTTCTTTCATGTATGTAAAATAAACAAGGACAAACCAACCATATTCCACGTTCCTGACAGTTAGGAAGTCTATCACCGGTGTCACACTGTGTGCCTTCAAAGAATTGAGAAAGGAAAGGCCCCCATGTTCCTAACATCATTTATTTCATGTGTGATTTCAGGTATGGTTTCAGAACATAATGAAAAGTAAAAGGCTTTACTTTTTTTCTTTTTGTTTTTGAGATGGAGTCTCACTCTGTCACCAGGCTGGAGTGCCGTAGCGTGATCTCAGCTCAGTGCAACCTCTGCCACCTGGGTTCAAGCAATTCTCTGCCTCAGCCTCTTAAATAGATGGAATTACAGGCACTTGCCACCATGGCCAGTTAACTTTTAAATTTTTAGTAGAGACGGGGTTTCACCATCTTGACCAGGCTGGTCTTAACTCCTGATGTCAGGATCCACCTACCTTGGCCTCCCAAAATGTTGGGATTACAGAACTGAGATGGAGTGCTGGCCTACACTTTGTTCAAATGGAACTGAAACAACTAAAGGCTTTCCCAGATTACTTATATTCATAGGGTTGCTCTCCAGTGCGAATTCTTGCATGGTTTTGAATGGAACTGGATTGAAGAAAGGCTTTTCCACATTGCTTACATTCATAGGGTTTCTCTCCAGTGTTGAGTCCTTTCATGATACCGAAAGGAACTGAGAGAAGAAAAAGCTTTCCCACACTGCTTACATTCATAGGGTTTCTCTCCAGTGTGAATTCTTGCATGTATTCGAACATTACTGGGTAAACTGAAGCCTTTCCCACATTGCTTACACTGATAAGGTTTCTCTCCAGTGTGAATTCTTACATGTGTTTGAAAGGCACTGGACTGAATAAAGGCTTTCCCACATTGCTTACATTCATAGGGTTTCTCTCCACTGTGAATTCTTGCATGTGTTCGAATGTAACTGGAACGAGTAAAGGCTTTCCCACATTGCTTACATTCATACGGTTTCTCTCCGGTGTGAATTCTTGCATGTCGTTGAATTGAACTGGGTCGAGTAAAGGCTTTCCCACATTGCTTACATTCATATGGTTTCTCTCCGGTGTGAATTTTTGCATGCTTTCGAACAGAACTCCAACTATGAAAGGCTTTCCCACATTGCTTACATTCATACGGTTTCTCTCCCGTGTGAATTTTTGCATGTGCTCGGATATTACTGGAACGATTAAAGGCTTTCCCACACTGCTTACATTCATACAGCTTCTCCCCGGTGTGTGTTCTTTCATGTCTGTGAAAGTGGCTGAGACAATCAAAGGCTTTCCCACATTCATTACATTTATATGGCTTCTGTCCAGTATGAGATTTTTCATGTGTGAGATTTAGACTGAGAGTAACAAAGGCTTTCCCACAAATACATGTGTAAGGTCCATCTCCACTGTGCATTACCCTGTGTCTTTGAACAGTTTTGAGAGAAATGAAGGTTTTTTTCAATTCCTTACAATCATAGGCTTTCTCTCCAGTGTGAGGCTTTTCATGTGTTTGAAAGGAGTGGAGACAGCTGAAGGTTTTTACACACTGCTTACGTTTATGTGTCTTCTCTCTACGTTCCCGACACTTGGATGGTTTGTGTCCAGTGTCGGCTCCGATGCAGCAATTCAGAGATGAATGATCCGTGTTGCCTTCTGCACACACACGGCTTTCACATGGTTTTACTCCAGGAAAAGTCTTCTTGTTCATTATAGCATCTGAAATCAAGCTGAAAGTTTCTCCACATTGACCATCTTTACATTCACAGAGTCTTTCTGCCATATGATTTCTATAAGAAATAAGCACATTACAAAAACTTTGTTGAGAAATAATTTTATATTAGCATTTGATTTACATATTATACTTTATCATGAGAAATGTAGTCTTTATGCCCTGTCTGAATTGTTTGAAAGTGAGTGGACTGAATTCTCTGCAAAGGGGCTCCATTACAGCTATTACCAAAAGATTGATGGTGGTAGGTAGTTTCCTTCTTTCTTTCCTTCTCTCCTTCTCTCCCTCTCTCCCTCCCTCCCTCCCTCCCTTTTTTTTTTCCTGAAACAGTCTCTCACTCTGTTGCCCAGGTTGCAATGCAGTGGTGTGATCACACTTCACTGCAGCCTCCACCTTCCAGTCTCAGGCAAACCTCCTACCTCAGTCTCACAAGTAGCTGGGCCCATAGACATGTGTCACACCTGTCTAATTTTTCAAATTTCTTCTGGAGATGAGTTCTCACTGCATTGCCCAGTCTAGACTCAAAACACTGGGCTCAAGCGATCCTCCCATTCAGACTCCGAAAGTATAGGCATTGCAAGCATGAGTGACCACATCTGGCAACTATGGTGTTTCTTAATGCTGTTTCCAAGGCAATTATTTTGCAAGCAATGAATGTCTATGAACTACATATTTTGGGAGAAAACATTCTAAAACTTAACAAATTTGAAGTTGGGCTGCTTCACTTTGCTTGTTCTTTAAATTTCCAGTGAGCACACTGGCTCATGCCTGTAACCCTAGCATTTTGGGAGGCCAAGAAAAGAGGATGGCTTGAGTCCAGGGGTTCAAGGCTGCAGTGAGCTATCATCATGCCACTGCACTGTAGCCTGTGTGACAGAGTAAGCCGTGTCTCAAATAAATACATTCTCGTCTTAAAAAAAAAAAAGGTCGGGTGTGGTGGCTCACGCCTGTAATCCAAGCACTTTGGAAGCCAAGGTGGGCGGATCAGGAACTCCTTGAGGTCAGGAGTTCAAGACCAGCCTGACTAACATGGTGAAACCCTGTTTCAACTAAAAATACAAAAACTTTTAAAAAGAAAAAAAAAAGATACATAAGTAAACAAATATAATTTCCTATCATTCTAAGACTATCTCAAGAGACACAGCTTTACATTGTAAATGCAAATTACCTTGGATTTCTCCTGGAATCTTTGCAATGATCTTCAATGTTCTCGTCTTTCCATTTTATTCCTAAAATGTGGTCCCAAAAAAATTATCATAAATTATAACAAAATTATACAAACATTTTTTTATTCTATGTTCATGGAACACTATTGCCATGCATGAGTTATTCAACAAGGTATTATTGACCCTTAAACAAAACTGGGATTGCAGGTGTGGTGGGTCATGCCTGCAATCCCAGCAGTTTGGGAGGACGAGGAGGATGGGTCGCCTCAGGTTGAGAGTTTGAAACCACCCTGACCAACATGGAGAAACCTGTCTCTACTAAAAATGCAAAAAATAAGCTGAGCATGTTAGTGAGTATCTGTAATCCCAGCTACTCAAGAGGCTGAGGCAAGAGAATCACTTGAATGCAGGAGTTGGAGGTTCCAGTGAGCTGAAATTGCACCATTACATACCACCCTTAGCAACAAGAGGGAAACTCTGTCTCAAAAAAAAAAAAAAAAAAAAAAGTGGGGGGCTTGAATGGCACAGGTTCAGTCATATGCAGACTTTTCTCAACCTCCACTACCTGCGTGGGAACAAGACCAACCCTTCCTCCTCTTCAGGCTACTCAAAGTTTTGTTGTTTGTTTTGTTTGGAGTCTCACTCTGTAGCGCAGGCTGGAGCGCAGTGGCACGTTCTCAGCTCACTGCAACCTCCACCTCCCGGGGTCAAGCAATTCTCCTGCTTCAGCCTCCTGAGTAGCTAGGATTACAGGCATGTCCCACCATGCCTGGCTAATTTTGTATTTATACTAGAGATGGAGCTTCACCATATTGGTCAGGCTGGTCTCAAACTCCTCATCTCGTGATCCACCCACCTTGGCTCCCCAAAGTGCTGAGATTGCAGGCATCAGCCACCACGCCCAGCAAAAAGGATTCCTTTACGGTGATCCACTTAATCAATAGTCAATATGTTTTTACTTCTTTATGATTTACTTTAACATTTCTTTTCTCTAGCTTACTTTACTGTAATACCAAATATAATAAACCAAACAGGGAGGCACCGTGGTTTCTGTCTATCATCCCACCACTTAGGGATAAGTGGGGAGGACTGCTTTAGGCCAGGAGTTTGAGACCAGCCTGGGCTCACAGCAAGACCCACATCTCCAAAAAATATAATTTTAAAATCAGCCCAGCATAGTGAAACTGATCTGCAGTCATGGCTGCTCAAGAGTTTCAGGCAGGAGGATTGCTTGAGCCTAGGAGTTCGATGTTGTAGTGAGCTATGATCATGCCCCTACATTCCAGCCTTAGTCACATGAGACACTATCCTCATACATATTTACACATATACACCAATATACAAATTATGTATTATTGACTGGTTGTGTTATTGAGAAAGCTTCCAGTCAACAATAGGCTATGAACATTTTTTTTGAGACAGAGTTTTGCTCTTGTTGCCCAGGCTGAAATGCAGTGGTTCGATCTCAGCTCAATGCAAACCTTACCTCCCAGGTTATAGTGATTCTCCTGTCTCAGCCTTCTGAGTAGAAGGGATTACAGGAACCCACCATCACACTTGTCTAATTTTTTGTACTTTTAGTTGAGATGGGGTTTCATCATGTTGGCCAGGCTGGTCTCAAACTCCTGACGTCAGGTGATCCCCCGCCTGGACATCCCAAAGTGCTGGGATTACAGGCGTAAGCCACTGCACCTGGACAATATTTAACTCGTTATATGGTCAAAAGTTAAAGCCAGACCATCTACTATGCAGAGGTTAACATGCACTTTGTTCAAGGGTCTATTGTATTGCTTCTGTTTTGAGATGAGGTCTCACTCTGTAGTCCAGGCAGGAGTGCAGTGGCACGATCTTGGGTCACCGCAATGTCCACCTCCTGGGTTCAAGCCATTCTCCTGCCTCATCCTCCAGAGTAGCTCAGACTAAAGGCGTGCACTAGCACGCCTGGCTAATTTTTGTATTTGCAGTAGAGAAGGGTTTCATCATGTTGGCCATGTTGGTCTCGATCTCCTGACCTCAAGTGTTCCACCCACCCTGGCCTCCCAAAGTGCTAAGATTGCAGGTGTGAGCCACCGCACCTGGCCAGTCTACTGTATTCCCTACCATGTTCCACATCACTGAACAGTGTAGATGACTAAGAAACACTTGTTCTCTATTTAACTCAGGAAGAAATGATGCCATCCTTACCTAGAGACTTCAGGTTCCTGATGGTTTCCTGCATCACATCTCTGTAGAGATTCTTTTGGGAAGGATCCAGCAGAGGCCACTCATCCTGGGTAAACCTCACAGCCACATCCTCAAAGGTCACTGAGTCCTGAAACATCCCCCAGGGAAGAGGAGGAAGGTTAAGACCGACAGTGCCAGGAAATCTACACTTAAGAAGAAGTTCACACAATGCTATAGACTCCACAAATTTATTCAATGACTTAGTCATGATACCCTTGTCCTCTGTCTATACTCATTTTCTCCAACATTACAATTCTGATGCTACAACTCAACATATTCAGTACAGTATCAACCAAGATGAACAAGCCTCTCATTCACTATTTCAGAAAGTGAGATATGCTGCCCGGATCACCTCTAATGTCTCTCTGTATTCATACTATGTCTGTGTCTGTACTAATTCGTGTATGAGACACAATATTAGCCAGGGGAGGTGGTTCAGGCCTGTAATCCCAGCATTTTGGGAGGCTGTGAAGTGCATCATGAGGTCAAGAGATAAAGACCACACCAGGCGTGGTGGCTCAAGCCTGTAATCCCAGCACTTTGGGAGGCCAAGGCTGGTGGATCACGAAGTCAAGAGATCGAGACCATCCTGGTCAACAAGGTGAAACCCCATCTCTACTAAAAATACAAAAAAAATTAGCTGGGCATGGTGGTGCGCGCCTGTAGTCCCAGCTATTCGGGAGGCTGAGGCAGGAGAATTGCTTGAACCCAGAAGGCGGAGGTTGCAGTGAGCCGAGATCATGCCATTGCACTCCAGCCTGGGTAACAACAGCAAAACTGTCTCAAAAAGAAAAAAAAAAAAAAAAAAAAAATGAGAGAGAGCGAACATCTGGAAGCTGGTAACTGCGTTTTGCTGATTAAATTTAATGAAGTATAACAAAAGGCTAATGAAATGTATTTTCATCATCCTAAAGGAAAAATTTTAAATATTTTATTAGGTAACATAAATAAGAATGAAAGATGGGGAAATATTGTACACATTCTTCTAAAGAACTGCATGTCGGCTGGGGACAATGGCTCACACCTATAATCCCAGCACTTTGGGAGGCTGAGGTGGGTGGATCACCTGAGGTCAGGAGGTTGAGACGACCCTGACCAATATGGTGAACCCCGATTCTACTAAAAATACAAAAATTAGGCATGGTGGCACACGCCTGTTGTTCCAGGTACTTGGGAAGCTGAGGCAGGAGAATTGCTTGAACCCAGGAGATGGAGGTTGCAGTGAGCCAAGATCATGCCACTGCACTCCAGCCTTGGTGACAGAGCAACACTTTGTCTTCAAACAAAAATAACTGCGTGTCACCAAGGTGTCGTTTCTGATGAATATTTATAAAATTCCCTAAATCATTAAAACAGACCTCTTAGTAATCGATAAAAGCTACTTAAACAAAACTAACAAAGGTAACAAATGTCTAAAAATGTTAAAAATCTTCTAAACCAGAAAGTGACAGTTTACCTAACGTACATGAACTATAATATTTATTTTATTTGCAAATATCTTTGTATACTCCAATTTCTCCTGGGACTAAGAAAAGTCCGAAATAAGGCTCTCTTTTCTGTTTCAACTACACTGAAACCTAACTGGGGTCAATAATTAGCAGGGACTACATAAAAATGTTGTCAGTGGGCCAAGCACGGTGGCTCACGCCTGTAATCCCAGCACTCTGGGAGGCGGAGGCAGGTGGAACATGAGGTCAGGAGTTCAAGACCAGCATGGCCAAGATGGTGAAACCTGTCTCTACTAACAATACAAAAATTAGCCAGGCATGTGATGTGCACTTGTAATCCTAGCTACTTGGAAGGCTCAGAGAATTGCTTGAACCCAGGGGGTGGATGTTGTAGTGAGTAATATTCTCACGTTAACAACAGTTAAGTCTTGGAATCCATGAGCACAGGATATCTTTATTTATGTCTTCCATAATTTGTTTTCACGAGATGGAGTCTTGCTCTCTCACCAGCCTGGAGTGCAGTGGTGTGATCTCACCTCACTGCAACCTCCATCTCCTGGGTTCAAGCGCGTTTTTTGCCTCAGCCTCCTGAGTAGCTGGGACTACAGGCGCACACCATCATGCTCACTTTTGTATTTTTAGTACAGGTGGGATTTCACCATGTTGGTCAGGATGATCTCAATGTCTTGACCTCGTGATCCACCCATGTTGGCCTCCCAAAGTGGTGGGATTATAGGCGTGAGCCACCTCCCGGTCAGAACTGAGTTTTTTAAAGAGTATTCTTAAACAGTCAAATAAAGGGACAAACAAATTCCTCATTCTGTTCTTTCTGTCTGACCTAGTATATAAACGTGTCTTCAAAATAATAGTCTTAACACTGCATTGAGAGGTTATAGATTTTAATAGGTCATAGGAATGACAAGAATGTTATATGGAATGGAACACACATATCTAGAACACTGTGTAACATACGAGGAGTACCCTCAGAACCAGTGCAGTGTTCCTTGAAACTAAAGGTTCATTAGTTGTAAGTGTATACTACAACTCTAGGGAATTCCCTGATAAAATTGAATAAATGAGTAGGTTGATATGCTAATAGAGGGAAAATAGAATCACATAGAATAGTCAATTACAACTACAGAAGGTGGCAGGATGCCAAGGCTCACACCTGTAATCTCAGCACTTTGAGAGGCCAAAGTGGGTGGATCACTTGATGTCAGGAGTTCAAGACCAGCCTGGTCAACATGGTTAAACCCCATCTCTACTAAAAATACAAAAATTAGCCATGCATGCTGGCATATGCCTATAATGCCAGCTACTTGCAAGACTGAAGGATAAGAATCCTTTACCAGGAGGAGGTAAAGGTTTCATTGAGATGAGATCACACTACTACACTCCAGGCTGGGCAACAGAGCGAGCCTCTGTCTCAAAGAACAAAGGAGTGAACAAAAACTACACAAGGTAGAAAAAGAGAAAGTTTGAAAAACAGATGGAAAGTACAACAAACAGAGAACAATTACAATATATACATATTAATACAACGATATCAATTACCACTTTAAATATTATTCATATACACAAAAAAGAGACTGACACAGTAAAGAAACGAGGGTCAGTAATGTGTAAAAGAAAATCATTTCAAACAGAAAGATATGGACAGATTACATAAAAAGGTATGCAAAAGGTAAGTCGTTCTAACACTAATCAAAAGAAACGTGCAAGTGTTGTGATGTCTGACCACACTGTGGACAGCATGGCGACTCCCACGGATGGCATGTACACCCCTGTAGTGCTTTCTGGAATTAGAAACCTGAAATGGCTGTAAAATCCTCAAAGGAGGAAGAAATGTTTAACCTCTGTGGCGCCCCCTTAACTCTGGGACAGTCTCTATTGCTTCTTAAACCGGCCTCAATTTACAAGGCCATTGGACTTTCTAAGGAAAGTTGGCCAACCTCCTGACTCCACACACTAGGATCCTCCCCCCCAGCTTGCAAGAAAACACCAACTGTAACTTCTATAACTTTCCACTGCCCACCCCAAACCTAGAAAACCAACTCTTATTTCACGGCCCTCGGCTGACACCACTTTTGGCCTCAGCCCACCTGCACCCAGGCAAATAAGCAGCCATGTTTCTCACGCAAAGCCTTTTTGGGGGTCTCTTCATTCAGGGTACCCGTTTTAACATCTGGTGCCAAAACCTGGGACGGGGTACTCCCTCAGGGAGACCAGTCCCCTGTCCCTGCTCCCCCTCTGGAAAGAGACCCACCTGAGGCCTCGACAGCTCTCTTCTCACCTTAAGAAAGGATAAATCTCCCCTCTTTCTCTCTTTTCCTTCAAATCCCAAGGAGACAAGTCTCTCCCTCTTTCTCTTTTTCTTGAAATATTTCTCCTTGTGGTAGAGATAAAGACACACTCTTTATCTGTGTAGAGCCAGAGAAGACAAGTGTCTTCCCTTGGTGTCTGGTCAATCGTGGGGACTCCTGCCTTGCTAACTCACCCATGTTACAGCCCAGGAACCAGTCAGGGCTGCCTACTCAAAACTCCGGTGGCTGCTCGCTCCTTCTCTTCATCTCTACTCTACTCCTTTCCTTAAAACTTAACCTCCTTCGCTATGGGCAACACTCGGCCCTCTACTCCTCAATCCTAAACTCTAGCCAGCTTTCTACAAAACCTAAAACCTGATCTGAAGCCTAAAGGCCTCAATCCAAATGACCAAAACACGGCACTTTCTATTCCTGTTTTCGGTGAGACCTAGACAATTTTGTCCACAAATGGGAAAATGGTCTAAGGCACCAGACGTCCATATATTTTTTTTACATTCTTATCCCCCCCGATAGCTGCTCCTTCTCTCCCTTGCGTCCACCCCTCCTGCCTCCACCAGAAACCAAGGATCTTCCTTGTCTATTGACACTTCTGACCTTTCTCCTCCCCACCTGTCTGACCCAGGCCCCAATTCAGGCCCAACCCCACCCCCAGAGCCTCCCTCCTCTTCCTCTGTCTACAACCCACCCCCTCATGCTCCTCCTGTCACCTCCCCAAGTCATCGTGACCCAGCTTACAGTTTAGTCCTGAGCCTAACTCCTCTATCCCTGCCCAACAATTCCCCCCTTGAGACGCGGCTGAAACCAAAGGCATAGTAAGGGTGCATGTTCCTTTTTCTTTATCCAACCTTTTCCAAATCAGCCAACGCCTAAGCTCCTTTTCATCAGATCCTCCAATACTTAATGCAGTCCTACAATCTCACCTGGAGTGACTTAAATGTCATCCTTACTTCTATTCTCACCAGTGAAGAATGAAGAATGCTTAATATGCACTTGATTACCCAATGTGTCCGGATATTAGGAAAAAAACTTCAACAACTAGCATCTGGCCCTCACACCCCACAACAGGAATGAATCAACCTCACCTGTAAGGTGTTTAATAACCAAGACGAGGCTGCCAAGCAGTAGTTTATCTCAGAATTACAAATGCTTGCTTCCACTGTAAGAAAGACCCCAGCCACTCCTTCAGCTCACAGAAGTTTCACACCAGCAAATCCACAGCATCCAGGCTTCTCTTCAGGACCTCCTCCCCCAAAGCCTTGCTTCAGGTGCTGAAAACCAGGCCACTGGGCCAAAGAATGCCCACAGCCCGAGATTCC